AAACAACGCGACATCCACGAGAAGCGTGAGATGCGCAAGCACCAGATTGCGAAGCTGCGCGCCCAGATCGCCTGCAACAACGTCCTCCTTCCACGTATCACAGAAATCGCCAATACCCTCGCTAATCCCGCTCCATCCACCCCACCTACTGCGTACTTCAACTCGCTCGTTGAGCAGCTAGAGAAGAATCCATCGCGCGACTGCCCACCAACGAATGACCCCACCAAGTTGGAGCAGACATATGACGGCATGCTGCTGTCCCTACTCAAGCAAGTAGGCGAAGAGGCACGCCACAAAGTCAAGGAAGCCGGCACGCCTGAGGCGGAGCGCGAGGAAAAGATTGCAAAGTTCCTTGCGAGCGGAATGGCGGATCATGTTAAACGGTTGAAGGAGACAATTGATAGAGACACCAGGGAGCTTGAGAAAGAAGAGGCGGAGCAAAGGAAACATATCACGACGGACGATATCCATGAAGGGTTTTCAAGTAAGGTATGTCTTTCCGATGACCAATATCGCCCAGTTTATTTTAGTATTAATCAAGTTCTTGTATAGTACGTCCCCCCACCCCCGGAACCCAAGCCCGTGCCGAACGCCAAGATCGGTAAAGGGAATGAGACGAAGAAGACGGAGTACGAGGTCCTCAACCCTAAAGCCGCAGCTGCAAGCTCCTCCTCTAAACCCGAGACAACTTCCACGTCTGATGACGAGTCTGAGGAGGAGGAAGCCCTGCCCGAGCTGACACCCTCGTTGAAGGCTTTCTCTGAGATCCCGGTGCGAGCGTATGAGAAAGCTTTCGAGTTTATCCAGTCCCACCGCGACGTCGTAGTGCCTGGAGCCTCTGACGCACTCCTCGTTGCTGCCTTCCGCGCCCAGAGCGCAGGCAATGCGAAATACGCCAAACAATGCGTCCACCAGAGCCTTCTGTTGCAGTACTGTGAAAAGCTCGGGAAAGATGGTGTCCGCGTGTTTTTCCAGAAGTATGCCCTTTCCTATAACTATCGTGCTTCGATGTCAATTACTAAACTCGATTGTTCACCTCAGGATGATCTCGGGCGATCCACGAGCCGAGAGCGTGTTTGTGAACGACATGGAAGGGACCTACCAGCACCTAGCCGAACGTGTCAATATCTCTCTCAAAGAGGAAGCCGAGTCCTCTGGAAAAGAGCAGATCCAGCTCGTCCCCGAGAACCCGGACCAGACCATCTCATTCAACGTGCCTGACGGGCCACCGCCGGAGGAGTTGGTGCTGGAGGGCCCCGAGACTGAGGGCCTCGATATCGAGGAGGTGCGGAAGGCGTTGCAGTTCCGGTGGGACGTGTTCGAGGCGTTCCCGGAGGACTTCCAGGAGGCTCTGAAGAAGGGCGAATTGGACGCCGTGAACAAGGTGTTAGGAGAGATGGACGTGTACACGGCAGAGTCGGTGGTGCAGCAGCTGGATATGGCTGGCATTTTGAGCTTTGCGCAGGGAGGGATCAGGGACGAGACTAATAAGACGCAGGATGCGAATGCTGGAGATGTTCCACCATGACGGGCTGCTGTGAAGATCCCGCTCTGACGTGAAGTCGTATATGTAAATCTGTATGTAATCCTGGCGCACTCGAAATGTTTTCATCCTACATGCATGCTCCTGATCCTACTTCGACATGTATTAGCGGAGTATATGGCTTCTCTCTTTGAGGGTATAGCATTTCCTATTCCTCTTACGCTAATTGTCTATTTTAGTTACTACAGAGGATCGCACGTACCCATAGTAACCTGTCATTCGTGTGGACGCAGATGCACATGGAGCCAGCATGGGGCCATTGTTTGCCAGGCCCTTTGTTTAGCAAACAAGCTGCGGTGGCTGTGCTGCATCTTTAGCATTATCCCTGCAGGAGTGATCACCCGGCAAAGTTTCCAGGGTTATCGCGGTGTGGCTCAAAGAAGTTGCCAACGGATAGACGTAAAGTCAATTTCGATATACTTACGCAGCACCCCAATTTTATTGAGTTCAAGAGTTGCCCCGTCCCTTTTGTGAATTTGCGATATAATTTCGTTTAGATCTAGAACGGCAAATCTTATCTAATCAGTTTTCCTCTGTGTTGTTTTGATTTACGCTGCGGGCAAAAAGCGATAACAACACTGAGCTCCCACTCTTCAATTTCTCGGAAGAAAATAGCAACTAGAGGGCTGCGGTAAGGTATCCTGACCTCAACCGCAGCCGATTGGATTTTTTGAATGAATTTTTACAGCACCGTTGAACGTCTGAGTAATCTCGGCTTCCCGGCATGAACCTCTAACTCGACGTCACCCGTGAATTCTTCCGGGTGCTTTCCCCACCACCACCCCACAACAAGCTTCCTCACGCTCCCGTATGGCTACTACTGCGGAGCTCCAACGCCGGAACCTATCATCATTTGGAATCTCTTGGTGACCATTATGCTACTTCCTGTGCTAATTCAAGGAACATGGTCTGCGGAAAAGAAAAAAAAACATCCGTAGAAAATTGAGGAGGAAAAAAAAGCATGCCGATGTGAAATTTTACAGGAAATTTGGACCGTCCTATGGATTCTCGGTCATCCGAAGCGGCTCTTCCACTGGGATAGCGCCCATTTGTGGGCGGGATGAATGGTCACAATCCGGCCTCTATCATGATCGTGGTTCAACAATGATGGATCTAAGATCGACGCGTGCCAAGGCCACCTGGAGGTACCGCCGAAATTTTCGCTTCCATCATTTGTTCTCTCCTTGGTTTGCCCCGTATATAAGCCCCCCATCTTTCATTCCTTGTCCCTCGTTCTATCCGCCCAGTCGGTCGTTTTCCTTCCCGTTGTCCAAGTCTTTCTTTCCAGGCTTCCCAACGACTTTCTTTCACGCACCCGTTCTATTCTTTCACCATGTACGCACAGAAGACCCTCCTTTTCCTCCTTGCCGCCATCCTCTTCGCCAACGCGATGCCTCACGGTCGTCGCGCTTGCCGCCCTCATTCCTCCATCGCTGTGCCCACAGCCGTACCCACCGCCGTTCCTTCTGCTCATGAATCGCACCATGGTGGCAACAAGACCTCTGTTGTCAAGGGCGATGATGATACTTCCACTAGCACCGGCAAGGGTGAGCACACCAGCACCGTCAAGGGTGAGCACACCACCTCGGCGAAGCCGACCAAGTCTTCTGCTTCACCGCCTCCCGCGAAGACTCTGGCCGCTAACGGTGCTCTCGGTGCACTCTTCCCCGTCTCTGGCTTCTCCAAGTCATGGTCCACCTCCTCCATCGCCCCCAACCCCCTTCCTTTGTCTGACGCCACCCTGCAACCCACCAAGCTCCTCTCCGCCCTTTCTCACGACTACGTTAACGTCAACGGCAAGAAGGCTATGCGGGCACACTACCCGAAGGGCTCGTACACCTTCACGCACAAGCCCCAGGGTGGTCTGTCTTTCTATGCTCCCGGTCCTAGCTCCGTTGACCTGAGCACGGCCAAGGAGGCCACCTTCGGCTACTCCGTATTCTTCGAGGATGGGTTCGGTTGGCAGAAGGGTGGCAAGCTGCCTGGTATCTGTAAGTCTTGACAGTGATCTTGATAGCGCGGTCTATTTATAACTCATTCATCAACAGATGGAGGAGACAGCGATGAGGTCGCCGTTAGCTGCTCTGGAGGACGCCGATCTGCTGCCTGCTTCTCGGCCCGTCTCATGTGGCGTGCGGGTGGTGCTGGAGAGTTCTACACCTACCTCCCGCCTTACACCGATTCGAAGTTCGCCGCCAACAAGAAGCAGTGCAACGTCGCTCCCATGTCCGAGTGCAACCCCACTTACGGTGCCTCCGTCGGCCGTGGTTCGTTCCACTTCGCCGCCGGCCAGTGGACCACCGTCAGCGAGCGGGTTCGTCTCAACGATGTCGGCCAGGCTAACGGCGAGCTCGAACTGTTCGTCAACGGCAAGAGCGTCGTCAAGGTCGACGGCCTCATCCTGAGGGACAACGCTTCGGGCAGGATGCGTGGTATCCAGATGCAGACCTTCTTCGGTGGTACGTTCATTTTCCTCGTTTCTAATTTGTTCCATATACTCACGAACTCTGCGTACAGGCTCTTCGACCGACTTCGCATCCCCCAAGGACCAGAACGCGTACTTCTCCGACTTCTCCGTCGCCATCACCGAAACCCTCTAAACGACCCACTGCACCCTTACTCACGCCGACCCCGCACACTAACCTATACTCACCATGAACCTCATCCGTCATCGGCGTACTTGAAGCGCGCCGATGGTGACATTCATTCACCACGCCACATCCTACCCACACACTGCACACACGCATGGTCACTGTATCATATCGCATCCTCCCTCCGCTTTCCACTTCTTTTACTTTCTCTCTTCTCCTACTTTCTCGCTCTCGGGACCGGCACCGGTTCCTGTCCCGCGGCCTTGACCAACATCGACCACTAATCACGCAGTATTTACGTCGCCGGCATGTTTGGTCTTCGTACATCCCACTCGCTAGATCCATATAGGTGGAGCTGGAGCTTGGTGGGTCTTGACGACCTGCTTTGCTGTTTCCGCATGGGTTGTACGCTGGCTATATAGAATAAAATCCTAGCAGATTATTTTCTTTTACTTAGTTAATACAAAATGCCTTTACTGGACCTCATAACTGTCTTGGAGTTGATTCGTTTCGAGGAGCCTCTTTCTCCCCTTGCTCTCTAAGCTCTCTTCTTTGCTCATTCGTTGTTTCTCGTGTACCGTCATCCAGACTCGTGTTTCGTACTTCCTCCTGTGACTTATTGCAGCGGCTAAAACAATCGGAGGCGGAGACGTGACCTTGGTCTTGACTCTTGCCCCTCTTAACTCCATCATAAAGTACCCTTGCCTCGGCATGGTTGGCAGTTCACCGATCTTCTACAAAAACACCGTCACGGCTGCGACGTAGCTTCGCCTGCCCCAAGTGTTGGTAGTGATAGAACATCATGATATATAAATGCTTTCTCGCGACGCACCGAAAGCAAAATACATCAAACACTCGCCTGGACTTTCCCCCGGCCGATTCGAACGACCAACCCGCCTATGACCAATGAAATACAGTAGTAGTGGCGGGCTCCACCACTGAGCTGGGAGGGGACTATCAGAGATGGCATGGACATGTACAAAGTGCTTACCCATCCATCGGCGTCATCCTGACTTCCTAGTGCCGATGTACTCCTCAGATTTGGATAACAAACAGGGCTGGGTGTAGGATAATGGATTTGCTCCGGTCGTCTCATTCCAATTTCCAGATCATCACGAAAAAAACGTACGTTCGAGGCATATTCCCTCTAGCCGACTTGAACGACTGACCTCGTCATAAAGCAAGTGAACAATATACTAGTGACGCGCTCTACCACTGAGCTAAGAGGGATCCCACAACCTCCAACCCCACTTCCCCCTTCTCTTGGGATGGCAATCCCCATCCCAAAATGCGATGAGGAAAGGTGAAGATGGAAAAAAGGCGAAATCGCGTCTATTTCCCTCTAGCCGACTTGAACGACTGACCTCGTCATATACACATTCGGAATCCCGCAGTATAATATACTAGTGACGCGCTCTACCACTGAGCTAAGAGGGAATACACCCTCTATCCGCACTCCCACGCCTTCCCGAATCCCTTGGTAAGCCCCAAGTTCCAACCCAAAGGATACACTGAGGAAAGGCGACTCGCGAGGGTGGAAAAAAGATGACGAAAGAATTTTAGTTCCCTCTAGCCGACTTGAACGACTGACCTCGTCATAGACTGTGAAGTATTTGTTGCAGAATACTAGTGACGCGCTCTACCACTGAGCTAAGAGGGACTATGGAGGGTGGGATCTCTTTGCCCCGGAATTTGATGGGCCGTGCTGGAGTGGGGTTATGAGAGGGGAGAGCGGGGTGGGCGGTGGACGGTGGACGGTGATGCTTGCGCGTCGTGCGGTGTTACGCGTTCAAGTCGGAGGCGCGTCCGTGTCCATGGGCTGGACGGACGGGAACGGGACGATATACGAGTTAAGATTTATATCACGGTGTTTTGTTGTGACAGAACCGTAGATCTTGCCTTCGTTTTTCGGGATCGTCGAGGATACGATAGGAGAGATGTGGGGGGAATGTCCGCGGCGTCGCGTGCTGGGGGGTGTTGGAATCAAGTGGTAAGCCTTGTATTCAACGATGCGGGGCGGGGCGGAGAGGGTTCGTTGTGGTTTGAGGTGCTGTGTATATGCGTAGGGGAGGGATAAGGGGACGGAGGCGGAAATTAAGTGTGCCCATAATGATAGAAGATCATGAATTCACGTCTCGGGTGCATGGCCGATGAGACATAAGCCCGACTGAAGGACACCGATGAATGGATATCCCGCCGACCAATGGACGTTCGAGGGTCCCCATCACGGGGACGGGGACGGGCTCGGGATGGACGCGACGTAGCGTTTACGTAGCGATGGGGGTACTCCGTGCCGGTAGATGGAGGGAATGTGAGGGGGTCGGGGTGGGACGCGGTTGATGGGCTTTATCTGCTGCCAGCGACTGTGACGAGAATGGAGGAAGACGAGAGGGGCGTACGATGTGGCCGAAGACCGTTAGCGATGTTGGGTTCGTAGGTCTCTGATCCCTCGAATTGCGGACGCGTCTCGAGAACACGGTGTACTGCTCACGCGCGTAGGTGTGACATGCGGGGGAGATTGAGAGCCAGGGTCGCGCTGGGGTAGCCTAGGCCAAGCCCCCAAGCGTGTCAGGCCCGCGGGGCAGGTCGCGTTCGCAATTATTGCGGCCCCGGTTGTGTGAATGGGTGACTTCGGTGAGACAAATCAGATGAACGCGGCCGCTATAAGCCGCTATATGTTTGGATTAGAGACGACGCAATGGGACCGTCATTGGGAGCGTCATTGCGGTATTTTTGCGTGTTTAGAGGAATACGATTACCGGGTACTTGTGATCTGTGTCGCGACGAGAAGGACTAGGTCCGAGAACCCGGGGTGGTCGGAGGTGAGAGTTTCGGGGAATTTTGACGTCGAGAGCAAGGGTGGATGTGTGAGTTATGCGACGGGGTAACTCTATCATCGGAGAATAGGGACATCTGGATTTAGGGGTGGACATAGGTCACATACGCATAATGCTAGAGCCTGAGGTATCGCCGTGCATGCATGGAATGGTCGTGAGAAGAATGTTTGATGAGTGCGAGGTCATTCTTGTGTATTCTTGTGTCATCGGTCTCGTCATTGCATCTACTCTATTTCTATTTAGTTGATATGTTTCTATAATCCGGACATAATAGGGTTTCAGCATAACCCCGGGACGTCTGTATCCACGCTACCAATCGCCTAATCCAAGGTATCGACTCTTTCCCTCCTGCTAAGTCCGCACCCCTCCTCCGCGGACTGGTTTTGTGACAAGGCGAGCATTTATATCATATCCTGACATCTTTCTGAGACTCGCCTTGCGTGTAGCCCCCCATGATCGCTACCATAACTGCCCACCGCATGTCGCCCCCTATGGACCCCCTATTCGCCCGTAACATGAATTCCGCAGGCGCACCCCTCCCTCTCATCCCCCGCCGCCTCTCTTCCCGTCCCCGCAGCGCCCCATCCTCCCCGCCGGACATGCCACCCATCAAGGTCGTCGTCCAACACTCCACCCCCGAGTCCGATTCCTCCAGCTCCTCCTCCTCCCTCCGCACAAAACGCCTACGCGGCATCCGCCCCCCGGAGCACTCCACCCCCACCCCGGCAGTACACGACGCCCGCCTCGAGCGATCCCGCGAACCCGCCGACGACAACGCCACCCCGCGCCGCCCCTCCCTCATCTACACCCCCGGCATCTCCCTCCACCTCCTCAAAAAACCCCGCCCCTCCCCCTCCCCCGAGTCCCTTTCCCACCTCCGCGCGCACACCGCCCCGCCCGCCCTCCTCTCCTTCCCCGCCTCCTCCTCCGCCGTCCTCCCAGCCTCCCAGTCCCAGCCCCGCCTGATCCGCAAAAAGTCGGGGCAGCTGGTCAAGTCCTCCTTAAAGTCGAGCAAGTCCCTATCGGTGGTGACCACCCGCCCGCTCTCCAGCAAAAGCGAGCCGAACACCCCCACGCACGCCAAAGCCGTGCACTTCGACGCGCAGCTCGAGCACGTCAAGCTCTTCCTCGCCGAGCAGAAGCCCCTCGCCGTCTCGCGCGACGGGTCGCCCACGGAGGACACGAGCGGGACGGATACGGACTTTCCTTCGTTCATCTTTGGCTCTGGTTCTGGTGGGGCGGACGACGCGGGGAAGGGGCTCGCCATTTCGATGTATACGCCGAATATGCCGCGGCGCGGTGAGGGGGGGAGGGGAAGGGGAGATAAGGACGTGGAGTTGGAGGAGCTAAATCTCGCGCGCGACTCCCTAAGCATCCTCGGCGTCGTCCGCGTGCGCAACCTCGCCTACGCCAAAACCGTCGTCGCGCGCTTCACCTTCGACGCCTGGCAAACCACCTCCGAAGTCTCCGCGCGCTACATCTCCTCCCCTACACCCGACTTCGATGTCTTCGTCTTCAGTATCCGCCTCAACGATCTGCTGGCGAGGATAGAGGGGAAGAGGATGTGGCTTGCGGTGAGGTATGGGTGGGGGGTGGGGGAGAGGGAGGTGTGGGATAATAATGCGGGGAGGGATTATTTGGCTGAGTTTTATGTTGAGAAAGGGAAGGCACCGGAGAGGGGGAGGGAGAGGGAGAGGGGGAGGGGACGGGGGAGCGACGACGACGACTCCTCCCGTTCGAGCTCGAGTGCGGCGGAAAGCGATATTGCGGATCTGAGGAGTACACTTGAAAAGGTGGTCTTGCAGCCCGCGCGCCCGACCAGCACTTTACGGTACGACTTCAAGACGTCCCTCACGCAGCCCTGGACGCCCCCCTCCCACCCCAACCCCAACACACACTCCAACTCCAACACCCCGCGCCCCCCCACGCACACCCGCACCCAATCCTTCCCCGCCACCCACCGCCTCCCACCACCCCCACCTCCTCCCACGCACATGAATTCAATCCCGTGGCCCGAGAAAGGGGGGAGGCACGTGGTGAGCCCGCCCCTGGGGTCGCCGAGGGATATAGGGGAGGAGGCGGAGGCGCTGTTTGCTGCGCATAGACGGTTTGAGGGGGATGAGGGGGTGCCGTTTGCTGTGCCTGTTCCTGTTCTTAGTATGGGTGACTTTGCGCGGGAGGGGAGGGGGAGGGAAGACGCGCCGATGCAGGGGAGGTGTTATTCCTTCCCCCCCGTCGATCCAGCCGGGTACGGGCTCGGGTTCAACGCAGCAGCGTACGGGCATGGGCACGGGGGCGAGTCGAGCACGAGCGAGAGTAGTGCCTTGTCGACGCCTTCGTTGGGGAGCTCGAGGGAGACGTCGCCTAGTCCGACGGGGGTGTATGGGGATGGGGAGGGGGAGAGTGAGTGTTATAGAGAGTTTTTGAGCAAGTGCGTTTTTTTGCCCTTTTTGTTTTTTTTGTGGGTGGGATGGGGCTGACTTGAGGGGTGTAGGTTCTGTTTCTTCACTGGACAGCAGCAGCTCCCCCGGGACTCTGATCAGCATCCTGGCAACAACGCACATACGCGCGCACATACGCACCCGCATGTGAAGAGGAAGACCTTTATAGACGTGCCTCAGCCTGTCCCCCTCGCGCTCGATATGGAGGAAGTGGGGATTGAGGATCCGGGGTATGGCATCATTGTTGGGGGGTGTGAGATGGAGATGGAGGGGGGGATGGAGGGGGGGATGGAGTCAAAGAGTGGGGAGGCGACGCCGCAGCCTGTGTCGCCGCCTGGGGGGGTGGGTGTGGGGATGGGTGTGGGGGTGGGTGGGATTGGGGCGAGGGGGGTGGGTGTGGTTGTTTGAGCCGCCGGTGGGAGTTCGATCTCTGAGTATCTGTTCCGGTCTTCTTTTTTTTCTCTTATTTTTATTTCTTGTGATGGTTCTGGTTTCGAGGTTCGAGGGTTGTATTTTAGATATAATGTGGGGCGGGGGGTGGGAGAACTGTCGCCCTGCCCCGCCCTGCCCTTCCCTCTCTCTCTCTCTCTATGTCTGTGTCCAGATTGGACCTACTACGCACATACGCATACATATACACGACAGTACATTCTACATTACGCCCCCCGCCCCACCCACACATACGCACACCACACTATTACGCACTACGCCTACGCCGCCATGGACTAGATCGCGATCGCGAGTTTTATATCGACATCGCCTGCCACGCCGCCCTTGTACTACTTTGGCCTTCTTATGATTCGTTCAATTCTTGTTTTGTACTCTTTTTTTCTTTTTGTATTTCTGGGTTGTTAGAGAGTGTACTTGTATGATAGAGAGAGGTGTATATGGGGGGTTAGATTGCCTCAGTAGGGTGGGCTATTACTAGTATTTATTGTGATTGATTTGTATCCAATATCGATTTTCTTTTCGACGGTTATTGTAATAAATGGGGTGTACGAGCATTGAGTAGTAGGGTGGGTGGGTGTTGGTGCTTGCTCGTATCAAGGGATTGGCTAGTGTCTGTTGTAACGTCAGCTGGAGATTAAAGTGTTGCGTCTTATGCAACATCCTTGGAATCAGAGAGAGAAGGGTGTCTTCGAACTGGTATTACATGTCA